CAACAGACCAATTTATATAATGTGCTCAGTAAACTAAAGCCTAGGGACCAAGCTTTGCCCTCTCTTATACAATCTAATATAGTTATGTTGATTTTGTCTAAAGAGTTCAGCATGCACACTAAAATAATTTACTATAATTTATATGTAATAATAATTATTATTATTAAATAATAATATAAACACTAGTAATTTACTATGTTTCCCTCCTACAGTGGAGCTCACTTTGTTATTTAAGAGACTTTACTCATGATAATTCAGATGTATAAAAATCCTTACCCGGATGGTAATGCTGTTTTCAATGGGCTCTGGGATGGTGCACACTCTAGTGCCCATTAGATGGCAGCATTACATAATTTGAATGTGGCCTGTCACTGGATTCTCCTGAGGTATTGACTTGCTGTCAATCCTAGTGCTCTTAGAATTAAAATAAAATTATTTGAAATAATGCAACAATAAAAAATATGTCTGTTTGGTTTTAAAATTATATGATTTCAATTTTGTTTTAAAGGATTATGTTTGTGTTATTGGCTTGGCAGTACCTTTCCCATATTGTCAAGGAAATATTTTAACAATGTGATCTTGTTTCCTAGAAAATTTGTTTGCCTAAATGACAATATTGATCACAATCATAAGGATGCACAAACAGTGAAAGCAGTGCTTAGAGATTTTTATGAGTCCATGTTTCCCATCCCTTCCCAATTTGAACTGCCAAGAGAATATCGGAATCGTTTCCTTCACATGCATGAACTCCAAGAATGGTACGTTCCACAAGTTCTTCTCAAGTTATTCTAGTGCAGTAATATATACTAATATATATATATATACACCTAAGATACTCTTTAATAAGCTGGTTTTCCCCCAGTATTGTCATGAAAGAGTTAACAGTGAAAATAGCATGGTGAGATTTGAATGAACTAAAATATGAGGTCTGCAGGATTTGGGTTTTTCCAGTGCTTAAACAGTCATCAATATTTTCTAGGTTCCTAACCTACTGCAAACAAAAGTTGTTGGTTTGTTCCTTTTGTGTGCTTTTTTTTAAAAATAAACCAGGAATTCTAGCTTTCTTTAAATGTAAAAAAAACTCCAAACCATTACTACATTTCTGACTAAGTGACTTTTTACAATCTGTCACATAGCAATAACCATCTGGATAAAAATCAGAAAATATATATATGTGCCTCATTTCTGTATAATATGCGAAATTTTTGTGTGTGTTTATCTCTTGCCATTTTATAAATAACAACTGAAGAAATTGGAGTAGTTGACTTGAGAAGACCAGCAAAACATTGACAGATGCAGTGACAAAAATGACACAAGACTAACATAAGTAAACCTGTTGCTGATCAGCAAATCATGAGAAGTAGCTGTTAATAAGAAACCAGAAAGCATTAGAAGATCTCTAGGAGGAACCAGAAGGATTGTAGGTGTCCTGTAGTGCTACAAGCCCTGCTGTATTAGTGGTGGAGGGAGCAGGGACCAAACCCATTTAGCTTTAGAAATTCTGCTGAAGGAGGAAACACAGTGTTGGCTCCCTTTTAGAGACCCTCCATCAAGTCTTGTAGCTTCAAAAAGATTGTTTATTTTGTCTTGTTTGTAGCCAAAGATGATTCTACCAGGATGTGTTAAGGCAGGTTAAAAAGCTGGTGGAAATCAAAGTATTTTCAGAATCACAGGACAGCATAGGTTGGCACAGATCTCAAAAGATCATCTGGTCCAGCATTTCATGGGAAAAGGTACTTAGACTATTTCCTGCCAGCTCTCAAGTGTCCTGGCTACAGGTATATAACTGTAGCACGTAAGAGAATTATAGTTTGGTCAAAAAGGATATAGAGTGATGCAAAACCACAGTTGCCACAAGTAGATGTGGCACTTGGGGATGTAGCTTAGGCCTGGACTTGGCAGTGTTAGCTTAACAGTTGGACTCAATCTTTGAGGTCTTTTTCTCACCTAAAAGATCCCATTATCTAGAACCCTGAGCAGTCATTTCTTGGAAGCTTCCAGTGGTGCAGACTCTACTGTCTCTGGGGAGACTGCTCCAGAAATGATTGTTTTGACTGTGAAGATGATTTCCTTTATCAAGATGAAACCTCTCCCAGTCCAACTTGCAGCTCTTGGCCCTTGTCCTCTCTATGTGGCTCTTTGTGAAGAGAGAGCTTACATCCTCTTTTTGTTCATCCTTTAAGAAATGGAAAAAAAAAACTGTCTTTGCATGTTTTGTGGAAACTCTATAAATATTTGCATTTATGATATATGAAGCTGTTTTTCTGTTTCCCTCTATCTTTCTCCAGGAGAGCATATAGAGACAAGCTCAAATTCTGGACCCACTGTGTTTTAATAACACTTATTCTATTTACAGTCATCTCATTTTTTGCTGAACAGGTAAAGTTAATGTCTTCTTATCAAATATGTGTAACGCTTAACAGATTGTAGAATCTTCAGAATAACATTGGATGGATTTTTTAAATAGGTTTTGAAGAGTAGATAGGATTTTTCTTTCATAAAAGTAAAGATGTTACATGACTCATTAATAGGTTGCTTTAATTTTTAAGTCACCATTTGAGATTCCTTGAAAAGAGAGTCATATGGGGAGAAGGAGAGTGGCACCTTCTCAGATGCCTTGTGACAGTAAAGTCCATCACCAGTGTGCTAAATTTGGATGCTCAAATTTAGTAATTGTTTTTGAAATTCTTGGCCTGTTAATATGGATATTGGTAGAAGTGTATATTAAGTTAAGAGGAAGAAAAATTAGTCCAGAAGGGGATCTTAAGTTTCTTAAAGGCCTTATCAAAACCTCTTCCCTAAGTAATTGATTGCAAAGATTCCTACTGAATTCAAAAGGTTTTGAATCTGACTAAAGGGGAAAAAAGCCTTGACTTCTGCAAGCTTAAAATGGATTTCTTGAACATGATTAGTCCTGCTAAACTCAGAGGGAGTCAATGGAACAAATCATATGGGTAATTCTTTGCAGGTTGGGGCCTTAAGTAACACTTTCCGTGGTCTGATGAAGAGGGTGTAATTCTTGAAAGGTTGGCTTTTGATTATTATTTTTTCCCACCTGTAACTTTTGCATGACTCTTTCCCTTGATTTTCAGCCTTTTTATAGATTAGAAAACTCCGTTAGTAACTTGGTTTTGGAAGAGGATACTCAACTCAGTGGTACAGTTAGGAATCTAAATACCATTTTAAGATGCCAGCTTTGTGCTGATCTTCTAAAACTAGAATGTAGTCTGGTGTTAGTTTAAATACACAAATTACCTTTTAAAATAATCAGAATAAAGGCATGGTGTATTTTTTCACTTTCTGCTTGTATTCTGATTATTGAGACGTCTAGTGGAAATGTGCACATCTGATGAATTGGAGTAAAAAATGCCTTTCTGGTATAATCAGAAAAAAAAGTACAGTAGTGAGTATTTACCATGGGTGGTACAGATTTGATAGTGTCTAGGATGAAAACCTGACCAGCTGTGGACCTTTAACCCAGCATAAAATACAATAAAATACTGTATTTTTTTCTCTCCTCAGCTAATTGCACTTAAACGAAAGATTTTTCCAAGGAGAAGGATCCAAAAAGAAGTTGGTCATGAACGAATCAAAGTGTAGAGCTTTATTTTGGAGATCAGTCTACCTCAAGCTGTGATTAAGCATTTTAAATGTCTCTTTCATAAGTGTCTTTTCTGGTTTGCTGTTTAACTGTATTGATATGAAGAAAAAAGAATCATGCACCTACATTCGAATCTCTGCAGTACTCTTCATGATATAAAAGCTGCTGGAGCTGTGACAATGCAAAATAACAACAACAAATAATTGCAGGACACCTGTACATAGGCAGTTTTCAACAGATCTTACTTTGCAACTCTTAGGTCATGGCCATGTTATCCTTTTTTATAAAAAGGGTTACGTAAACAAATGTAACTGCATTTATTGCAGTGGATGTTGCCAACTAGATAAAATGTTGGAAGGAAAAGTTGTTTGGGATCAGCTTAAGAAGTCCTTGATCTTGCATTCCAAAGCATTTTGCAAATTTCTGTCATTGCTGCTTTTTTTAGCCTTCTGGGGAAAATTGAGAATTATGTAACTTGTCATTTAAATTTGGAATACATTTATAGATGTTGACATTCTTTAAAGCACAGTGACAATTCATCTCTCTATTTGTAGTGTATAATTGCGATTTGAAAGAAAGGTATGCTACTAAAAAATTACACAGTAATAACATCTAATGGTTTATTTGAAAGATGTTTTATATCTGGTGTATTATAGTCCAAAGAATACTCAAAGAAATTGTGTTATTTCTTGGTTTGATTACAAAGAGAGGTTGTAATCAAAGGAAAATGATCAAGGTAAAATATATTACAAGCATTGTAAATCAAAAAGCAAAAGTGCCTCTATATGAATGGGTAAAAAGCTGTTTCAAATTAGAAATGTATGGGGAACAGTGTTTCACTTCATAAACAATATTTGTACTGACATACGAAGCTGTGGTGTTTTTAAATTTCATGGGGTTTGGCCCTGTATTTTGCTGAGATATCAGACTAGTGTGGTTTATGTGGGGAAAGGGTACTGAATCTTTTCAAGCAGAAATTTTTGGTGGTGTATCTTCACTTAATTGTATTAGCAGTATTCAAAACCCATTAATTTTTTGTAATCGGATGATGTACAAAATGTATGTGCGTATGTACTGTAAAATACTTGGCTTGCTTTGAAATTAACTAAAACGTGATGAACCTTTTGTCTGCCGTTTCTGTTTCAAAGACAACGAAAGCTCGCACGTTTTGGCAAATTAGCCAGGAATCTGTATGAATCTTTGCGTGTAATTTTTTTTTTCCCGTTAAGAACCTTGCAGCTTTATTGATTTAATAGTAATTTGAAGCACGGCTCCGTTCTCAAAGCGGGATGAAGCTGTTGAGGAGCGTGAGGCTCCGCGGGCGCTGCCCGGCCCCGCTGCTGAGAGCGGCGGCGCCGCGGCCCGGCCGCGCCCATTCCCGCCCTTTCCCGGCCGCGGCGGGCGCTGAGGCGGCGGCGGAGCCCCGGGGGCGCCGTGAGGGCTGCCCGGGACCCTGGGGCTTTGGGACCGGCGGGGCTCCCTTTGGGACCGGCCGGGCTCCCTCTGCTGCTAAGGGAGGTGCGAGCAGCGCTGTCCCTGCCGCCTGTGCGTCCCCTCAGGCTGACGGCCTGAGTCTCCCTCACTGCTCTGAGGTGGGTCCTGGCGGAGAAAAGCCACGCACAAGCACCCGTTTGTTTAATATCTTTTTGGGGCAGGGTGGGGAAAAAAAAAAAAAGTGAGTTTGTCTAAAAATCATTGTTGAAGTATACAGTTGTGGATTGAAGATACTCGGATCGGCTAAAATAGGTACCTACACCGGAGGGGTGGGGGCTTCTTGGGCTTTGTGAGGTGGCGGGATTGTTTTACACCTGGCTGAGGGGGACTGAGAAGTTTTGCTTTGTAAACTGATTTTTAATACAATCAAACTGATTTTTAATACAAAGAAAAGTGTCTGTATGTCAGATAAAATAGATGCTTGCAGTTTAAAGTGCCTCAGCAGCACAGGGACAGGCACAGCTAGACATCATGGCCCAGCACTCTCCTCCTTTACGTCATGTCCTCAACAGTCAGTAGTCGAAAAGCAGATTAAGTCTTGGCAATTTTTTCTCATTTGGGGATAATTCTAATGCAAAGGCTTTTGATTTTACAGTCTTTTCCAATAAAGAGGCCTGTTTTCCAAGACACTTGTAAAATTTAAAATTTTACATACTACATAGAGAAGTATCAACCTCAGAAAAAGCTCGGTATTAAAAAGTACTCTTTCCTTAGCATAGTGTGGCCATGTTTGTACAGATCCATGGAATCTGGAATTAAAAAACATTTTCACAGCTATTGACAAATAACTAAAAATTAAAAAAAAACAACAAAAACAGAAATAGGAAACTGAGGTGTGTGAGAGAGTTGATAAATCTACTAAAGTAGATTAAATAGATTAAATTTACTAAAGTTAATAAATGAATAACTTTCTAAGAGGGTAGTCTATGTGTAAAATGTTTGCCAGTGTAGAAATGGCACATTACAGAATGCAAAGGTGTAATAGCTATAAAAGATAAATTGGGACTTGGAAGTTGCTTAGGACTGTAAAAAATGGCATAAGCATATGTATATTTGACTTTACAGTGTGGAATGGCTTGTAGGATCACATTGTTCTTATGGTTTATCATTTCTCTATTTTGGACAGTAGAATATTGGCATAGCTTTTGGGGAATGCAGTACAGGATATGACAAAATGTGTAATAAACCTTATGGATGCTAAGCTGGCAGACATCTTAAGAAAATGGGTATTTTATTCCAGCAGAATCAAGTATGTTCCTAATAGCCCTGCCATTATTTAGCATGTTTTTAAAAGCATCACTGATGGGTAATGCTGTGGAATACCTCAAAACTAAACCAGTTTGACTGCTTGCATATCTTTACAGGTGCAGACTGTTAAAGAGGTACCCATAATAGGTGCAGGTAAGCATGAAAACATATTTATTTTCAATTTATTGTGGAAGAAGTTATGTCACAAATACAATATACTGTTTCAGTAGGGAAAGATCTCACCATGGCACCATCAGGAAGAAAGCATGGAGGAAAGGCTGGTAAACCAGCTCAGGAAGATCAGACCATACCTTCTTTTGACTTTGAGGAGGAAAGAAAAGAACTGAGTGGATCAGAGGAAGATATTAGAGAAGGTGCTTATTTGAAATTTTTAGGACATTTGTAAAATGTGAATTTTATCACATTTGTGATTATGAAAAGAAGGGAAGAACTTCTGAATCAGCCAAGGGCTGAGCACAGTTTACATGGCTTGTAATGCCAAAGACCACCAGGCTCCTACTGTGTAATTTTGATTGGTAATTTTCAAAATAATATAAATATCTATTTGTGATTTTTCTTTTTAAAGGTGCAGAATTACAGCACCTCTTTTACAGTAAATTCAGATTGGACTCTTACAAATTTTTATGTTATTTTTAGCTTTCTGATGATTGCTAAATTGTGAGTTGTGAGTAATGGTGCAGAGAAATTCAAACTATTTGGGCCCAGGGCAGAGAACTCAGAGCAGTGCCAGCTCCAGTCTGGCCTTGCAGAGCAATTCTGCACCATCTGCCAGCTCCAGACTCAGAGGTACAGGAGCTGCCTCTGTTACTGATGGGAACTGACCATGAGACATGGGCAGGGAATTGGCATGACAGAAAAAAATTACACTTTTAATAATGTGAACAACCAACACAAAATGTCTTTTTGTAAATATTTCTATACTCCTCCTTAAGGTGACATACCAGTAATGGACAAGCATGGAAAGAAAAGACCTCTGGTGAATACTCATGTGGTTCCAGATGATGTGGGGTAAGGTTAGATGTTTGGGGGCTTTTTCCAAAATAAGCAGGTCTTAAAAAGATACTAACTTCAGTTATTCACTATGCTTATTTTTGCCTTGTTTGGGTTTGGCTTGGGGTTTTTTTGGTATTTGATTAAAAAAAATCAAGTGACAGATAATATTGTAGTTGTAGGTAAAAAAAATAAAGTATTTCAAAAGAGTAATTCTTCAGTTTCTTTTGAAAATGCAGAAAAAATGGATATATTTGTGTGTTCTTAAATTTGTTTCTTTTAAATATTACTTGTTTAATTGTTGATAATGGCATTAAATCCTATTAATTTTTTTCTTCTCATTTTAGTTGCTTGAAGATATTACCAAAGCTTTAAATGATCCACATATTGAATGAAAAATAAATTTTACAGATAACTCTTAATTTAATATTCATGGAGAGTGAATAAATATGAATCAAATTTAATATTAATGGCCAGTGTAAATGTAATAAAAAAGTACATGCTAAAAGAGTTTTCAAGCAGATTATAACTGTTAGGTTGAAGATACTGTTTTTACTGTATTGTAACAGTGCCTTGCACACTGATTTTACCATCTTAAAGATGCTGCAAAAAAAACCCTGAAATTATTTGCCTTGGGATTTTTTACTGTGCCAGTCATGCTGAGAAGGACTTGTTTTTATTTGGTGTTCCAAATACCCATTTTGTTTTCTTTGTTATAGGGAATAATCAATTTTATTTACTGACTCCCCTTACTAAAGGCATATTAAATGCCTCTTTATATAATAGTGCTTATTTACTGGGGAGTAGCTAACAGATTCTAGCATTTTATTAAAAAAAAGGCAAATTTATCTGAAAAATAAACCTCTCACAGGAGAAGAAAAGGAGTAAAATTATCTTATGGCAGTGGCAGTTCTGTTACTGCTTAGAATAATAGGCATGTGAATAAAATTAGTTCTAAGCATATTCAACAGGTCAAAAGTCAGAAAATGGGCAAATAAAAATCTGAAACACTGTTTTGTAGGGGTGAAGTACAGAATATGTTGGAGAGATTTGGAGGTAAGTACATTTACATTCTAATAAATAAAATATAGTGCCAGAGTTGGCAGTAATAACTCACCATAAAATAACTTTCAAGACTTATGTAAAATGACTAGTCTCTGTAGCACTTTTCAGCATTTCTGAATAAAGCCAGTTTTCAGGAAAAAAAGTTATATCTAGGGAGAGCAAAGGGAAAGAAGAGGAGGGAATATCTGCATATAAATGAGTCACAGCTTTTAAGTGTAGATAATTACAAAGGAAAAGATGCATGAGTGCTTTGGATCATCAATTCTAATTTTAAGATGAAGTTTATAAGTAGTAACTATATTTTAGAGAAAAGGGACAATAGCAGTTTGCTGTTGTTCTCACTCAGTTTTTTGTTACACTGGCATAGAGGATACTGGGGATGGCAAGACTTGAGTGAGAAATAAGAGAAATGTAAATACACTGTTAATATAAGCAGCAAAAGAGAAAACACTGTTCTAATTCTAGCAATTATGGAAGTAGAGTTTAGTTGTGATACAGAATGAGAGAGCACTCTGTAGTTAGCACTTCCAGAAATACAGAGAACAGGGAATTACAGGTAAGAGAATTTCAGCAGTCAGAAGGAATGAGAGTTTCTGGAACAGCCAGATAACAAGGGTCAGTAATGCTGCTCATCCAGTGATGAGCAATTTGTGTGTGTCACTCAGCAGGATTTAGTATTGTTATAATCAGATCCCCAGGTGGCTTTACCTAGTTAAATTACCAGCTGAATTCTAGATAGTGACAGGAAAGAGAAAAAATACTTTTAACATTTGTAGAGAATGAACAATACCCATCACAGAGTAAGCAGACATCAAAAAGCCATGGAAGGAAGGGAAACCATCTTAATGCCAGCATTACACACTCAATAACTGAGTAATACTTTCATTGTATGTAATAAAAGAATCCTGTCCAGAGTCATTACTTGCATGTCAAATTTAAGGTGAAAGAGAAGCTTGAGTAACTCCTTAATCCACAAATTAGAACTTTTGGCTGTCACAAAATTACTAATTTCTTATTACATATTAGAATGGTATTAGACATCTGGCAATTCAGATAAAAGGAGGATTTCAATGCTAAAAAGTTAGGACTGTGTAATTTAAGACTCAAAAAAGGAAAAACAGGAAGGTTGGAAGGAGGGAGAATGAATGGATCAGAGAGAGGATGCTGTGTGCACAAAATAGTGGGTTTGGAATTAGTAGAGACAGATGCCTCAGCAAATTAGAGAAGTTTGACAGATGTTTCCTGAAATCTACAGTGAGAAGGAAGCTAAATTACTGTATTAATCTTAAGCTGTGACTTGATAAATCTCCAAATGTAAACTGAAGTGAAACAAACACAGTAACTTATATTAATACTTAAAAAGTACTGTCTCTCTGAAGTATAAAAATAGTTATTCATTGATTCAGTATGTTCACAGGGATACTAACCACATGCTAACCTTAATTTATTTCTCAAATTCAAGAAATTGGCATATGACTCTGAAACAGGTGTTGGTTAGGGTGTGTGACAGGCATAAAGAAACAGCAGAGCCACCAGCAGGCTGAGGGACATCAGCACATCAGATCCCGCCAGCTTCTTGTTGCTAGAACACACCTCATTTGCTTCTCCAAAGTGTAACTCATCAGCCTTTTTAATGCATTTCCAGTATGCCTAATTTCTAAATATTCTTTGGCTTTCAGCTGACATTAACAAGGCTCTCTTAGCTAAGAGGAAACGATTAGAAATGTACACAAAAGCCTCACTCAAAACCAGTAACCAGAAGATTGAACACGTTTGGAAAATGCAGCAGGAGCAAAGGTGACCTTTCCTCTTGGTTTCCGAGCCTGTAGATTCCCTTCTGGGGGACAGCATGGATAGCTGGTCTGTCACCTGCAATAGCAAGCACTGTATCTAATGTTAAACATCTGCTCAGGGCCTCTGCTGCCCATTGTGTCCCCTTTGTTAATGTGACAGTAATCACTCAGCACATTCTCTTTTGAACAGACAAATTTAGGATTTGGAACTGTGAGAGCAAGGTATATTAAAGAGTAGAGCTTACTTTTATCTTTATGGAAAGTGACCTTTGATGTTAGTATGTATTTTAAAACAATGTTGGAGGGGTTTTCCCCACTTTGGAATTTTCTGTTTCTACCTGAAAGCTGAAAAATGTTCAGTAAAACTTTAATATTACTCTGGTTAAGAAAGTAAATAATTTTCACCTTTCTTAACATTGCTCTCACCTCTTAAGGCATATTTAATTACTACATCTGATAGAGCAAAGTGAAAAAAGAGACAGTTAAAAACTAAAAGTCAGGAATACTTGTAACTGTCTTGGTGTTGTTCTATATTTATTTGTACTTGAAACTTGTATGGACAAAATTTTAAGAAATGAGCTTAACAGTTCTGCAATGTAAACACCTTGTGTTAAAGCAACCACCTGTAACTGAATTAGAAAACATAGTAAATCTCAGAAAACCTGACACTGTTAGGAAGAACAGTTGCTACAATTTCTTTTTAACCAGTACTTTATGGGAGTGCTGCCTCTATAGATATATTCCACATCCACTCAGTGTATGTGTGTGTAGAGTTTTTCAAAACATACAGTATTGAAATGGGGTCAGATGTCAAAGTAGCCTATTTATCTATGCCAGCTTTTATTTTATTCCACATGTATGTTGAACGTGTAGCATTTGTCATACTTACAGACAGTGTCTGTTCACAGGCAGAAGCTCAATCATGAGTTCTCCCAGCAGTTCCTGACTCTGTTTCAGCAGTGGGATGTAGATGTGCAAAAGGCAGAGGAGCAGGAAGAGAAACTAGCAGTGAGTTTCCAGCATTGTGTGAGCTTCACTGTATTTTCCACAAGGAGGGAATATTGTTGTTTCTATACTCAAGAAATGTAAAAACACTTTATGTTGTTTATACATATGATTGTTTAAGTTTGGAAAGAGAGGTGCATTTATAAACTTCATTGCAAGTTTTAAACACTGTTAAGTGATGCCCTATGCCAGCATACAGCTTGAGAAAAGCAAGGACCATTTAAGGAGAAGAAAGACGTGCTGTTTCTCTCCATCCATAGTCTTTGGGTTCAGGGAACAAAGGAATAAAGGAAAGTAGTTGTTTTTGTAGCATACATTCCTTAAAAATATGCCTGTATATAATAAATGTAAGAGAATTTGATCACTCAAAGAGGATAGAAGCTATACAATGGAATGTAATCATGTGCTGTTGCTCTGTACTTCCAACACAATTTGCAAGGTTTGCTTTTCCCTAGGTAGCACATTCCTCTGGGATACCCTAAGAAGCTGTGGGGCATAGTAATCCTCATGGGATTTTACAGGGATAATTCAGGTTGCAAGAGACCTCAGGAGGTGACTTGGGGCTTAATCCAGTCTTCAGTCCTACTTTCATTAATAAAAGCCAGGGTAACTTTTCCAGGCAGAGATCCACTTTACAAGGCACAGATTTCCAATAAAGGAAGACTTTCTGATTCTGAAAAATGAAACTGGTGTGCTGTCCAAGCACTCTGCTTAACAACTGATGGAATTATGTTTTTCTTTTGCTTCTGCTTCAGAATATGCTTCGTCAGCAACAAAAGGTTTTTCAACAGGCAAGAATAGTTCAAAGTCAGAGACTGAAGACCATTAAGCAACTCTATGAGCAATTCTTAAAGGTAAATCTTTTTCTTGGAAAGCAGCTGATCCTTATCACTTAAGAAAGCTATATTAATTCAGTGTTTCAAATTTAACAAAGTAGACTAGTCATACTAGACAGCAAGCAAAAAAACTGTTTAGAGTACAACCACACAAAAATTTTACTTTTTTAATTAAAGGCATTCCTCACAAGAGAAAACCTTCTGTGCCTTAATAATTTTCATGACCCTTTGCTGTAATCTATTCTGTATGTTCATGTCTCTCTTGTCCTCAGGAGTCTGAACTGGACCCAGCATTCCAGGTGTGGCTTCACCAACTGCCAGTATACAGGGCAGATTCAAGTCCATCAATTTCTGACAAACCTTAATTTCAGTTCAAGTAATTTCTTAGCTGGTTTTGAAATTTCAGTTATGATAAGCTTGGTGTTTGGTTTGAGTTTTTTCTAAGCCTGGTGGTTCATAAAAATAAATCTGAAATGGAGTAACTCTTAGTTTAAAAAAATCAAAATTTACTGAATATATTACAGAAGCATTATTAAATAATAACTGTTCCAAAATGTCAAAAATGTCTTCATCAAAGAGGAAAAACTGAACAGAAGGTCAAGTATCACTTTGATTTTTCCCCTCAAAAAAGATCAAAAGGTAGAAGTCAAACCTCAAATAAGCTTAAATAAATACAAATTAAGGAAAATGCAACTAGACACATACACAGAGGTAAGTGTAATTGTATGTAAAAAAGGGAAGATAACCAGGGAGTTTTATTTGGCTTATTTGGGGAGAAGTGTGCAAAGAACGCAGTGGGGTTTATACTCCTCACTTCAAGTCCAGCAAGGCTTTCATATTGAACCCCTAAAATTCTTGACTGATGTCTGTTCAATCTCTTCTTATAGAATTTCTATCTTATATGAAATTCAGAAAAAGTAACTCAGACCTCAGAGAGGCTGACTGGAGGGCTCTGTCCTCTTCCCAGGGTACATTCTGTGCAAACAGGAATGCAGACTGGAGTATGAAGTCCTCTATGATTCCTCTGCCAAGTTTGTGACAAACTCATCAATTGTCTGTGATCACTGTAAAAAGTAAATTGTAGTATGAATAATTATTGGTTTGTTTGGTTGTTTTAAATTGACTGCTTGACATTAAGGAGTTCTGAATTAATATTTTCCTTAACTTCAGAGCATGGAAGAGCTGGAGAAGAGCAATGAAAATCTTCTGGCCGGTGCCCAAAATGAACTTCGCAAGGAAATGGCAATGTTGCAGAAGAAGATTATGATGGACACTGTAAGTATCAGACTATGAAGTTAGCTAAATGCAAAAATAGAACATTCAATTAAAAGTCATTTGACATTCATTTAATTCAAAGGAATCATATTGATACAACATTTGTTCAGCATTATCTCCTTTTCTTGTGACAGCAACAGCAGGAGATGGCAACTGTTCGCAAGTCTCTTCAGTCCATGTTATTCTGATGGCTCAGTGGAGGAGCAACTTGTACCTAAGTAACACGATACAAGTACAGGCATTAGAAGGATGTTGAGATTTAAATGTTTCAAGGTTCCTATTAAACTCTTTCCTGGATTGTTCTAATCTTGTCTGTTCAGGTTGTAAGAACATATCTTAGTAAACTTCTGTTACTGGGGGGCAGTATGGACCCCAAACCGTTCACTGTCTGTTCAGTTGATTTTTTTACAATTTCATATCCACTTCAAATAGTACTGAACTTTAAATAGTTTCACTTTTTTTATACCAAATTGTAACAAGGGGAAGAATTAATGAAACATGCATTACCCAGATTTTACATAATAACTTGAGGCCTTTAGGTACATTGTGCAAATAGAAGCATTTCTAACAAGCTGCAGATTGTCACAGTTTCAATTAGCCTGCTGATATATTAGCTGTTGTAAAAATTCACAGAGTATGACATAGCTCAGACAGAATTGTTTAATGATGTGCATTATGCTAAATTAAATTAATTTTGTTAACTCTTTTGTTAGTCTAGATGATGCACTATCTCTGTATTAGTATGAGATTTATAAACTGCTGTAATTTGTCCAGAATTTTTTTTTTTTGCGTTAAATGATGAGCTTAATGTATCTGCTCAAGTAACAATATTAAACATTATGCATTTAGGGGTCTGCTTTCTGTAGAACCACTGCTAGAAGAAATTTACCTCATTTATTTAGTACAGGCTATTACAAGCCTTTGAGATGGAATATTATTTTTTGCAATTACAAATGACTAGCAATTAAGGGAGACCTGAGTTTTAAGAGTAAAGCATTTATCTTTCATGTAGCTCATTACAGTCAATAAGTATAAAATAAACAATTGGCTTAGTGCACATGCAGTTTGTTTTTACAGAAAACCATTACACCTGAATATCTACTTTTAAGAATTAGCTAGTTGCCAATATATTTAATGCTTTGATTTAATACAACAGTAGATAAAAAAACCATCCACACACCCACACACACCAAATGTGATGTTGTCACAACAACGTGTTTCAAAACCATATTTTTCTTCTCAGCCTACGAGCATTTTGAGTCATTTGATGGTGGTTCTCCAGGACTGGAAACCACATTAGTGATGGCTAACTTGGAGCAAACATGGGAGTTACACTGCTACACTGATGCATGGGGGATACGGGCCTCTCGTGTAACCAGTAACAATGCTGCTCGGTCATTACTGAGTCTCAGCCCTCTAAGGCCAGTGACAGGAGGCTATGAAACAGGGCACAGGTTCTGCTTCAGATCTTCAACAGGACCTTATTTGTTAGCATTACCTCCTGCTTCTGGTTTTATTTGTTAGTATTGAGTCATGGTTCTGGTTTTCTGAGTGATTTCTGCATTAGTCTCCTATTGTCCCCATACCTCAATCATATCCTCAAAATTACTTATACCTGCTATGCCAGGACAGTTTGGACCACTGTGGAGAACTCAGTAATTTCACTCCTAAGATGTTGCCTGTGTCTTTTCATCAGGAGTTAAATTTGCTTACTGTATTCAGCCAAAGTAAAATGGTCATTACCATCTTCTTTCCTATTTGACCATGGCCTGGGTTCAGGCTAAATTAATGTGCAGATGCTGTGTCATTTCCAGCCTCAAACAGCAGTAGTAGGATTCATTCTGAATTTACATTAGTCACTTTAGTTGTAGTCCTTTGGCAGTAACTGTTACAGTTACAGATCCTCAAAATGATCATTATATTCTTCCTAGGCAGGAGGGTGGTGGATGTATTTTATTTCCTCCAGACCAGCAGATAATACACCACTTTAAAAGTTCCTTGAATGCCTCAGGAACTAATTAGCAGGTAGGAAGCTGCACTGGTAGTATTTTTAAAACAAACCATGGCATTCTTTATTGGACAGTTCAGGAAGGACTTCATTAACTCAGAAGCTCAGGTACATATCAGCAACTGGAAGGAGTAATGCACACTTACATTCAACAGCTTTTTACATAAACCATATTCAAGTAGTACCTCTTCAAAGGAGCTTATGCATGGCATTTGTGTGCAAGTAATCAATTTTTCATTCAGCTTTTCTATAATGGCAACAGCCCTCTTGTTAGATATTTGATGTAAACCAGTGGGTCTGTTCTTAAAGGAAGAAAGAAGCTGATATTGGGCCTGAGTTACTGTGTTGGAGAGTTTTACATTATGGTTCAGTTTTGTGCCCTTTTGTTTGGATAAAGTACAGTAGTAGCTACAAGACAATAGGATCAATTGTAAGGTAAATGAACACAGGGATAGCACAAGGACCAGAGAGGGAAATACAGAAGGTTGGGCTGCAGGGATGGAGCCACAGGCTTTGGAGTTTATCAATGAACTTTGTCCTTCACTTGCATAGACTCACAGATACAAGTTAGGGTGCCTAAAGTCAGTCCTCTCCTTACACAGCTACCTGTAGTCTAGATAAGGATGAAGTACACTGAGACTGACCTCACTGTGACCACAGAACCAGAAACTGGCCTTGAAGGAAAGTGCAAGCTGAAGTTTCATGTGGTAGCAGTAGGTTATGTACTTAGATACTAGAGAATGCATGAATTCTAAAGGCACTCATAACAGTACTTTGAATCAAAGCAAGTTTTCCTGAGCTGTACCTCCTTTATCTACTGATCCAACAGCTTGTTCCTTAGAAGTGCCAGAGGAGACACTGAGTGATTTTTAGGTCATGGCTGCCTCCTTTTACCAGTCTTAATAATGCAGGATTGAATCCATTGGTACATCTGACAACCGCTTCAGAGCAGTTCTAACAAAACTTTAGAAGCTAATGCTACAAGATTAGACATGAAATTCCTCTTTGAATTCTCACTGGCAGCACCTTGGTTTGCATCTACATTCACCAGAAGAGAAGTACAAAATTAAAGCCACCTAACAGGAAATGGCAACATTTTCAAATGTAGTATTTGTGGTCTGAAACACAGGGAAATACATACTGGTTCAAAAGTACAACAGCATCTGCAGAACTTTGTACCTACTAATTCTAACATCTGGTAATGTCTGAAACACAGTCAACTTTCTCATAAAACTCTTTTCTTCAAAAGCTTTATCTGTCTTCCCAAAAACACAGAGGCTGCTTCATTCCCCTAACTGCTTCTTCTCTTGTCCTTGACCTATTTAATCAGTCATTATGGTTTTGAACCTGCTCAGGAGCTTGATGAGATGAAATTCTGAAGACATGTATATGAAGATGAGCGGCAATCTGTAGGCACACACCACTGGCATATCTCAGCATATCAAACAAGGATATGAACTTCAAAAGAACAAAACAGAATAGGTTAAAAAAAATCCATTTTTAAAAATTGTCCCTACTATAAATATGCTGTACTTTAATTAGAATTTATCCAAGTGACAAGCATAACATAAATACATCATTGTAACATAACAGCTACAGAGTGGTCTAGTTTAGAATTAATAAAACCATCACAAAACCCCACCATCCTAACAGCACTAAACACTTAGAAGATCTGTTAAAAACCATTTGTCTGCAGTTCACAGAATGACTTTAAAAATCCACATGGACTAAAGCATAATTTCAGGAGAGATTTATAAATTTACTTTCATTTCTCTGTTCCAAGGAAAGCAAGACAGTCAGCTCCCAAAAACATATTTACTGGGTACCCAGAATTCCCTCTGCAGTGACAGCAGCAATATGAGCAAGTCAGAAATGGCAGAGCAGAATGACAGGGACAATCTCAATCCATTCCTTAAAGCATGGTCCAAACAGAAAATATAAAACACTTACCAATGCTATCCACAAAACAATATATTCATCAATGAAACTGTTGAAGTACTGGTCCAAAAACAGAAGTCCTGGCCCAATAAATGCAGAGTCCTGAAGACAAATTTCACTTTTTGTCATGTGAGCCACCTGTTTGAAAAAAAGAAAAAAAATTAAAGAGTGCATCCCTGCAAGATTAGTGTAACTACCAGCAAACAGGCATCACAGTCTTGCCCAGCAATGTCCTCTTGGAAGCTACATCTATACCCATGCAATTCAGCTATCTGCAGGGGCTCCCCACTCTCTAGTTTTCCAGCACTGTATTCAAACTGTAAGACTATGCAAGTGTATTACTGAAAAAGCATCTGGCTGGATTACTAATGTTGGTAAATTTGTCGTAAGGCAACTTTTAAAAATCCATTGAGGAGTGTTTTATGTACAAAAAAGACAGTCTGAAAAGAGAGAATGGAAACAGAAATGTTTCTTCATTTTAATGATCACAGTAAATTCTTATTTCAGATAATTAAAGGAGAAGCCACAGCACTATTAGTAAGCCTTAAAGAGACCAGAGTTAGGATGTTAACAACAGACAGTAAGAGCATTTCTAGGAGTAAGTTAAACAAAACTGGAAGTCCTAACCAGTCCACTCACAGCAAATACATGTTTTCATCAGTGTCACATATAATCTCTCAGTAGAACCCTGAGTCCAGTTCAGTGTCTTGATCACAATGAATCTGGTAATACTGGAGCAAAGCAAAATGGGAAAACTGTTCCCCCTGATCCAGTAAGTGTTTAGCCAAGAACCAGGTTAGTTTTAGGAGGTTTAGGACTGACTTACCACCAACTTCTGTGAGATTTTGGCATTCACAAGCCCAAATGTCAAGACATACAGGCAAGAATGTTTTTCAAACAGCTGAGTTGTAGACTTTTTATAAATTGTAGTGGCCAGTGTGATAAGCAGTCCAATGTGCAGGGCTGGTGAAAGAACACTTGTTCCCTAAGATATAAAGGCATGGAAAATCTGTTTTACACTTCAGTCACATGATAAAGTCCAAGTTTTATACATATTTCAAATCCCATTAAACAAAACCAGAGTTGCCAAAACTTGTCAAAATCCATTAGTAGTATGTCACTTCTCTTAGTACCCTTTGCAGTACCCTTTGACCACTAATCAATTTTTTAGGAAAATTCACTGCTGGTTCCCATGACAGAAGAAATCCACAAACAGGCAGATGATGAACTTTGCTTTTGTGAGCCATATAACACTCACATGCCTGTCTGCTTAAAAGCTTAAACAAATAGAGCCCTTATGGATCACCTGAAACATAATAAATTATGGGCATAAATTATTCAAACTTCAATTGAATTTTTAGAGCAACTTACTGCTATTGTAGATCCATTCTTTCCAACCCCTCCACCAAAAATGACACGGAAGTAATTGAAAAAAGAAAGTGCTGTTCCACACAGGATGCCAATAACTGCAAAGAACTTCAGCTCTAAGCCCAGCAAAGGGACCTTAGCAGAACACAAAAGAAACGAAACCAAAACAAACAAAGAACAAACAAAGCACAACAAAACAAGAGAAATATTAAAAGTTAAGCACACAACACCTTTTTTAAGGAGTGATTAAAGCAGTCAATCTTACCTACTAAATGTTTTATTTGAATCCTCACTTTCCTAGGAACAAGCTCAGGACAACAGTGTTTAAAATTTGCTTCATTACTAAGAAAATAAGAAGTATCTTTTGTAATGCTTAAACTCCACTACTGAGTACCTAAATTCTGTTCTTGAAATTCAGCTAGATCTTAATCTGCTCCTCCTTAATATATTCTTCAAATACTTTCACCACACAAGCAAAAACATGACAGACTACTGCCATCAATCACCATGATATGGGAGCAGGAAGAGGGATAGTTCCTTCTATTCCACTGGATAAAACAACACTGATCCACAGGAAAAACAAACACCATCTGCCTGCTGTGTGTTTTGGCATATTATTTGTATGCTGTATCTTTGCATATCATGGGACTATAACGAAAAGTCTCCAGATACAAATGTGAATTAAACAGTTACCTTTTGGAATCAATTGCAGTGTCAAGGAAACTTCCAAAGGCAGCAGAAGATTTTAAAAAGAAGTAATAAATGGAAACTGTTTACTACATTTTTTGAATATATAGTTTTTTTGTGATACAGCATAACTGCAACAGATTCTAATAGCGAGGAAAAAGTTAATCATAATTTAAGTTTATTGCACCTACTTTGTTTTCCAACATGAAGACAAGCTTTTTGAAAATAGAAAAAAAGGCTGGGAAAAGGAAACTAAGTTCAGCTAAACATTCCTTAATTGCTGAGTAAACTTTTGAACTAGTTTTCATTTCTATTGGTTATCAATATTACAGAAAAGTAAGTCTCAGCTCTTTGCACTATAACCAATCAGAACTATAAATTTCTGAGTAAAAGCCCTAGAAAGCTGAAGATCTTTTGATACTGTCCAATAAAGTGCATCTTTTAAGATCAGAATAAGAGCCATAGATACAGAAAAGTTTTGGCATAGAAACCAATTCTTTAACTATAAATATCTACATTTACATGGCTGTGACGTAATTCTTAAAAATCAATACAAATATGGATAACTTAACCAAAACCCCCTGGCTTCATCCCACAGTTTCATTAAATTGAAGCATCTAATCCTTAATTTTAAGATAAATTGTTTAACTGAAATGTATGCCTTACAATAAAATATACAAAATATATAAAACCAGAAAGGAACCCATTTGCTAAAGCTTAAGTATGTGTGGAGTACTAGCTCCAGATCAGAAGTTTCTATGTGGCAGATGGGGTCTTTTTTCCTCTGTATAGCTATAAATCTGTGCACAGGAAGTCACACCAACAGATCTAAGTTAACTATGGCATTAAAATAACCTACACTTATACAATACGCTAAAACAACATTACACAACTGGAAGGTGTTGATAGTACTTGCACAGAGCAGCTTCAAATACCACAGGAACTGTGGACACCTGACAAGAAACTCAGCAGGAACTCTGAGCACTTAACAGACTCACCTTATAGTCCCATAATCCTGTTCCTCCATAAGCAGTTATCAAGAGCAGCATTGCTATGGTGATCTGAACTTCAGTTACATCAATTCTGGGAAAGAGAAAAAAAAAGAGATTTAGTTCAAGGACTTTTTGCTCTAAGTGTAAAGCGTGTGTGGAGGGAGGGGGAAATAAAACCCCCAGTAACTACTTCAAATTATATAAATATATACAGAATATTACTTTCCTTGACTGAGAAAACTACACTATATGAGGACACACATCTCTGGCTAAGATTTAAAATGAAAGCTATCGTCCTTTTTTTGAAGCAAGCTAGATATAATTTTGAAAGGGGGACACTTTAATGAATACACCGTTAACTACTGGAGAATTCTGTACAAATTTACAGACTTGTTGATGTGTAAGTGTCAAATCAAGGTTTAAGGTAAGCTCATAGTAAAAGCAATCAAACATTTCCATTAAAAGCACAGCAAATAAAAGCAGACACTATAACGAGCAGGCTGGGAAAGAAGGGATTTCTTTAAGCTTCATATCATGAAAACTTGACAGATATAGCCTGGAAAACAAGGGAGGACTGAGTTAGTGGATAGGTAAGCATTTGCCATATTTCTGAGAACATGTAATTGCTATCTTACTTTCCTCCATAAAAGCTGTTTTAGGAAATGTGACCTTGTATGCTCTATGAAGTCCAGACTCCATATTTCACCTTTTTTTGTTCTAAGACAAGACAGACATATAAAGATAAAATCTTTAGTTTTGTATTTATTTGATGAAAGCTCACATGAAGCCAAGGCTCAAGAAAAAAAATCAGTACTTTTAAAGCTTTAACATAAATAATTAAAATAATGACCAAAAAAAAGTGCATATCAAAGGTACCTTTTATGGTACCAAAAGTTTTGAGACAGTTATCTTCATACTAAAGTTACCAGCAAACACTGATAATGAATGTTCAAGATTGCCTTTAGCAGTTGGAATAAATTTGCTCTTTGGAGGTATTTATGGCCAATGTGTATTGCTACTTACTTAGCACATGACCTCTCTGCACAGGAAGCAGTGGGTGTTTAGAAGATAACAATCATCTTTTAGGTAATGGAAAACATTTATCTGAACTTGATAATCTCAGTTAAAACTCTCTTCTTTCATCAGAAAGACGGTGATAAAATATGCCAAATTTCATCACAATCTTGTGACTCTTAGAGATTCCAGAGTTTAAACTACGGTTAGATGACAAGCTGAGGTGCTTTAAAGCCAAGAGCATGGGGAGTCCTCCTCTCCCAAACGTGTTGTATTCCCTCAGTTTATTTGCTGCAGTGCTCACTGGACTGTCAGGTGAACTAGTCCAGCCTGCCAGTGCAGTGTAGCCTTTTCACCTTCTGCCCATTTCATGAAGTGGCTTGAGGTCCAGTGACAGAGTGTCACAGGACAGGGGGCTGGGAGTGGGCTCTTCCTTCTCTGCCAGGGATGAAGTGTTACATCCACCCTGCCATTGCTGAACTTGCTGCTTACCTTATGCAAAAGCACCATGTGCAAGTGTTCAGAGGTTGCACTCTGTACTATTAACACCACTATTTCTAATCTGCATTTCCTTTGTTGCTGCTGGTGAGGGGAGGAGGCTCAAACTTGAAGTTGTGCCAAAATTTAATACTTAATTTCAGAGTGGCTTACACTGTGGGTGGCAATAGAACCCAAATCAGAGCCCAAAGACTTTACTCAGACACCTGACAGTGTCACATTATTCAGCTCTCTGATCCTTCCTGGCCATCACCACTGGGAATCTCATTTGTGATTTATTTCTAAAATTTAGTGCTTCTAAGTGAGAAATAGAATCAATGAAAACTTCCATCCATCTTATTATGTACCATCATATTTAGAGCACTACACTAATGCCTTCTTCACACCTCTGTGTTTAAGAGAAACAAAACTGGGAGCCTTGAAAAAAAAAAGTGACCTGTTTTCACTGGACAGAAATAAGTTATCTCATGGAAAAGTTGTGTCTGTTTAACTTTGAACAGTAACCATGAAACCCCAGACCATTCTGGGCTGTTTGTACACATCATTATGTTGAAGTAGAAGTCACCAAGTTTTTAACAAAATCTTTATGTGGTAAAGACTTCACTGCCTTCCCCATGTGGCGAAATAATTCTCATGCTTTTTGCAAGAATAAAAGGTACAGAAAAGCAGTCATGTCTGCAGAAGGCCAGAGCTCATGGCCTAGTCCACCTCCCTTCACAGCAGCTTCCTGTCCTGGACAGAAGGTATCCTATTTCAACCATCACTGTGAAGCCCCTATTTTTGTTTACAGCACAAGATGTCCTTTAAAAACAATAGGATGTGTAGGCAGGCAGAAGAATTACAGTGGTAGATGTAATAATGTGGTAAAATGCATTACCAGCAAACCAAAAAGAGCTCTTATCAATATGACAGAGACAGCTGCATTTGATGCAATGTGCAGGGATAGCTGGTCACCAGCCTGTGTGCCTGCTGATTGGCTAAGGCACCTCTTGCAGAGCAGAGCTAAGCAGGACTATGTACAGGTGATTTAGCAAGTGACTGGCATTAGCAGGACACCCTTCATGTATCCCTTATTTTCAGTTCTGCTGCCACAGAAGTCTCAGACTTTTCCTCTTTTCAGAAATAATTACATGAAAGCAAAGCTCATTCCTTAAAACCAGCAAAAGGCCATGGTCAGGCCCTACCCCAAGTATAGGAGGGTGCAGCAATCCCTGCATTATTAGCAGTTAAACTGAAATTATTATCTTCTACATTAATGTCATGACTTCTCCTCCTATGCTGGAGTGAAACAGATAACATTTCTATGAAGTCATGAACAGCATCACAGCAGTCTCTAGAACTGACCAAACACAAAACCTAAAGGATATCAAAGCCAGTGTGAGCCAGATTTTAAAAAGGCTCTCACATAGATGTAGGGTAATTCTTCAAGCATTGCCACAGATCCGTGGAACTCCTTGAGGATGCTATGAGAAAGAGTTCATTCCAAGGAAGACTGAAAATGCCTATGAAAGGGAAACCCATTAGCAGGAGAATTTCTCCAAAATGCATGTGGTTTAGAGTTCCCTGGGGCTGAAACTGTTCTAGCTGGGAGATTACAAAGGGAGGTACCCAAATGCTTGCTCTGTCCCTACTCCTACACAGGGCACTTGTCTGCAATGTAAACAAGACCTCTGGCCTGAGCCTGCACAGTGCTTGTATGGGTTCTGGCAACAAATCTGCAGAAAAAAGAGCCAAATGCATGCAAACAAAGCATATGGAGCTAAAATCAGCTGTTAAAAGAACAGCAGAGTTCAGTATTATACAGAGATTCAACTTCTTGTCAGGTAAAACACAAGTCTGCTGGATTGGAAGGGAGATGAGAAAGAAGATAAGAAAAAGAGAAAGCAGGGAATAAAGTAGGAAGAAACTGAAATCAAGGAGCTAGCAGTCTCAGACATTAAGCCAGATGTAGTTCTAATGATACCTACTTACTTTCCAAACCTTAGTATGCCTGATACGTATGTCTGCCAGTGAGCAGAATAGAACATGAACAGTCCCACAAAACAACAGAAAAACAACCAGTCAGGATTTGATCCTAGTCGGATCGCTATGCAGGATCCAAGGACAACAAATACTGAAAAGCAGAAATGAATATGTTAATCATATATCCTCTTTGCTTGAAGTTAAGAGAAATTAATTATATAAATAAATAAAAATACAAGACATTTTACATCATTCTAACAAAGTAATGCTATGACTGATAAATTACTGAGTAGCTGACCCTCAGGGGCAGTCCTGGTAGGAGAAACCAAAACACAGCACTCCTTTTCTGCCAAGGCAGGGCCCTGCCCTCTGGCCTACAGTGGTTGTTCTCCCTCCTCCTGGCCTTGCCATCTCGTGTTCTTTGCAACACCAACAACTTCAGCTGAAGGGCCAAGCTCAGGGAGACTGGCAGCTGCACTTCTCTGGGAAGTGACACATAAAGAAGCCACCAATTCCCACAGCAACTGTCTCAGCCATTAAGCTTTATGGAACTACAGGCACTGGCACCAACAGCAGCTCAGTTATGGAAAGTGAAACTCAGCAAGGCTTGCTTTTTAAGGACTCCCAACTTTTTTAAAACTACTTCTTCTAAGGAGTATAAATCACCCTTCTCGTAAGTGCCAGGCTGGATGCCCTATTACCAAACTGATATTTTGGCACCTTACTCCTAAAGGGGAGTATGTGAAGATGCAGTTAGGTAAGAGCAGAACATATCTTACCCAACATCAGCCAAAGAACTTCTAAAATACCCCCTGTTACTGGCCAGGGATGCAAAGGTCAGGAGATGGAGAAGTTATCCTAAAAAACCCTGTTCTGAGCAGGGGTTTGGACTAGATGATCTCCAGAGGTCCTTTTCAACTTCAACAATTCTGTGATTAAATCAGCTGCTCCTGAAAACAGGCAACTTTTGTAAACTAGGATGTGTGACAGTAAATGGAGGTTACCTGTGGAAATAGAGTCGCAACCATGATCAAAGAGTTCTCCAAGGGGAGAACTACTGTTTGTTCTTCTGGCTTGCTTCCCATCAATGGCATCCAGAGACTGGTAGATAAAAAGTCCTACTGCACCCAGGAGGTAGGCCCAAAAAGGTGCCTGAAAGAGATTCACATAAAAAGTCACCAGGTTGTTCCCAATTTCTTAGGGAATAATCTGTTTCATTGAAGGTAAAATACCATTCACCACAAAACTGTACAATATTGTGCTATTTCTTACTTAATGGACAAACCAAACATCTTGCACTAATATCTATATGCATTGTAGTAACTACTGTAATGAACTACTTCAGATACACCAGTCCTTCTATTATTTAAACAAAAACAAACCCAAAACTTTGGCCCCTCTTCTGCATCAACTGACCTTCTTTTCTACCTTAAATCCACAGTGTTTCTGTGATTAGTTGCATTCTTTGTGCTGGAAAATGTTATAAAAATCATCTTTAAAAAAGAAAGTAGTAGCAATGCACTTACTAAAGCTTTCAGCAGTTTGTGTCACAGACATGTAGATGATTTCCTCATATTTACAACATACAGATATAAAAACACCAAGTTTTTTACTAAATAAAGATTTCAGCCTTTAGGGAAAGATATTTTTTCCAACACACAAAAGTTGACTACCTAGGCATTTTTGACAGGGCATAAAAAAAAAGGAATTCACTAAATTGAAGGAGAAACTATCTACTTAATATACATCATTTTCAAATCAAGCTGTTAAATTAAGACCACTCTTAGGTTCAAAGGAACTGTTCTGCAGTCATTCCTTTGAAAAGCACTATTTTCATATGCACAGTCAGTCTGGCTTCATCTAGGAATTAGGTTTTGTTTAAAATTATTTCAAACCCCTCTGGAACGAAGCACAGGCAACATTTTTACTTCATGTAGTTTCCAGTACTTCCCTTAGCATTCAGGAGTACTGTTAACAAAAATGAAGTCAGGTAAAAATGCTGGCAATGCAACTTGCAGATTAAACAAGCAAACACCCACAGGCAGGCACAGAGCTGAATCCTTTTCCATTCCCTGCTTAGGGACAGCTGCTGTGGTGCTGCTGCACCTCTGCAACTCCTCTCCTGCAGCACAGATTGACCAACATTTGCCCGTGTATTTCCTAAGACCAGTAAAGGCTATTAAGCAGATTAGACAGCAGATCAGATCTCAGTGTGCTGAGATTTGTCCACACTCAACTAAACCCAGTGTGACTACTGGGGAAGAAGGGAAAATGGCAGCAGTAAGAATGCAGATAAGGTGCAGCTGCTCCTCTAGACATTCTGATGTCTCATCACCATTTTATTCATTGTCTTGAGCTAGAAAAAAAGTTATGCCTCCAGTTAGACTGGTCACAAAACACACTTAGCAGCCACATGCTTAAGGAAAGTGCAGCTCTGAATAGCATTTTTGCTTTTATTTAAGAATTTCTCATGTATTTCAGGCTGGCTGATACACTGTTATCAAAGTCAACTGGTTGCTGCTTCACCCAGCTTTGAAGGAAAAGACAGCCAAAACATCAGGAATTCACTTTAGGTGCAAGCTCTGGATTTGTATGCAAATGAAAATCTAGAACACTTTAAACATTCTTCAAAACTGGCAAGGCTGTCTCCTCCCTTAATCCAAGGAAACCAAGAAAAATTGTTATCACAGATCATGTAGGAAGCCTTAAGCAGGTGAAAGAAGATGAGGAAATATTATTATTCCAATGGACATTGCAAAGATCACACTTTAGAAATCCAGGTCAAGCGAGGACAGCAATATAAGTTTGATGCTTAGTGACGGAATTAGTTGAGTTTCTTAGGTTTATTCTCCCTTTTAGTTCAATTAATTAAACAAAGGAATCTTGTCTTGTCTTGGGGGGTGTGGTTAAACCAGGGAGGAAAGTTTTAGCCTCACCTAAAACCTTTTGAAAAAGTTTCACTCCTCTAATGAAGGGGAAAGGATAGAGCCTGTGGAGGACAGGAGGTGCCTGTAGCTACCCCAGGGCTGAGGATCACCAGAAGCCCCAGAGAGGCACAGAGAACTCAAGGGTCTCTCATGGCACGAGGTCACTTGGTCTCACACAGTGCAGGGGTCTGCAGCTACCTCCACTTGCTCTGCATCCTTCAAAAATAGAGGGCTGTCAGTCATTGCTCAGGTACTTCAGAACATAAAAGCACAGTCAGGACTTTGTTGAAGCTGAGATAATTTTAGCTGTGATATAATCCACATAATAAAGTGACCACAGTACATACACTGGCTTTCAGACTAACTTTGTTACATGGAGAATAACAGAGAATCTCAAACACAGCAGCTCCAGACCAATGAGCAGAAAGGCCATGAGAAATCACTGGTTGCACTGCTGTCTTTTAAAGGAGTGTTTGAAAGACACAGCCAATTTTATCAGCAGTATTTCTGTGAAGTGCCACAAAGGTCATCTGCAGTGTGAGGTGTCCTTATGGTGACAAACTTCCATTAATTATGAAAAGACAGCTTGAGATCTACCTTTAGCTTCTTGCAAAGCAAGCATAACACAATATATGCAAAAATAAACAAATACATCAGCTTTAACTCAAACTTCTCCTACTAGGGCTTTTTGACAAAACAGTAGCTTTGTCCAGTTGCAAGTTATGGTACAGCTATGATCATTCAGGCTGATCCAAGTCTGTTTGCATTAGCTCCTACTGGGACAAATCAAAGCAAGAGTCCCTCAAGCTCTCTGTCTGCCCCTTGCTGATCTGGACAAAGGGTGAGCATTTTCATCTGTTTCCCAGTGAGGATCATCTGTATCCAGTAGCACCTGTAGCAGATGTATCAGGATCCCCCACAGTTAAAAAGAAAGGAAAAATAATTCTTACTTATGTTAGTAAGAACAGCATATGTCAGAAAGCTTAGAAACACTATCTGGAGCATTTCATCCCTAGCAAATCTAAACCAGAGTGGTAAGAACCAAAATTCACTTGTGATCAACTATCATTTAGCAGCTCTAATGTTTTCACTGGTAAAACACAGTTTTCCAAATCTCCAAAGATTCCTAATAACCATGGATTTTCTCTGCTATCCACCCTCCCAATACAGCTCCTGCTGATGTCTCCTTTGCCTTCTCTCCATACAGGGATGTCCCCTGATGGCTTCCCACACTGGACCCAAGTAGTTTTCAAATTAGAGAAGTGGGAGCATCTGAGAATGCTGACATGGCTAAGCAGAAAGGTCAGGAGGCTCCCAATAATCATCAGCTTTTCACTGATGAGGTGTTTATTACCTCTGCCTAAAGTTATATCCTGCCCAAGCAAATGTATTATTTGGCCAGACCTAGGAGCTATTCTCACAGAACTAGAAGAGAACAGAAACCTGAGGGGGAGGAGGCAGGCAGGGAGAGGGGGATGCTCAAAGGGGTGTCTGAAAATACTACAACCCCAGAATTCTGTCACACACAGATTCTATACAGTAGAATTGGTCATCTGTTAACACAGAGCATGTCAAAATAAAGCCATGTACAAGAAGTGTTTGATAGAGATGTGTGACATGCCTCTCCTTCAGGAAAAAATGGGGGTAGAACAGCAGGCATTTTTCTACTCCCATGATTAAACCCCACAAAAGAGCAGGGGCATCTGCAAAAGACTGCAAGTGTCAGGGAAACCTCTTAGAAATAGTTTCAAGCACAGCTCTCAAATCCAGAGAATTCAACAGGCCAAGCTTGTGCAGTATTTAAAGATTCAGTTCCTTAATTACTCATCACGTTTAGCCATAATCTCACTTCCTCAATCCACGCCTAAGAGTGTTGCCCTAGTTTACATGGCACCTCTCTGGACCAGAGCCAAAACAGAGGGAGACATTCTGACTGGACTTCCCCTAAACATGGATCATTTCCCACGCTTCTGTTCAGCACAAACCACTGTGCAATTGCACTGACAGCAAGAAGAGAGAAGGGGCTGTTCAAACCTGAGCTACAGCAGGGAAGGCAGCATGGATGAAAAAAATAATAACCAAATAATTATTTGTACCAAACTCCAAGTGCATTTCATGCATACCAAGGAGACTCTGCATTCCTTTAACATCCTTGTCTCTCCAACAAGCCCTGTCTGAGAGCTCTCATCCTTCTGTGTCAGGATTCCTGCCCTCCTTACTTCATGCCAAATAACCTCCTTCTCCCATTCACAACTGACCTGTTCCCCTCTTGTGGGTTTTGGCTGAATTTCCCACTCCACTCAGTGCTTCACATTTATTTGCCAAGTCAGGTAATGCTTTTTCCTCCATGCTCTCCTCCCCTGCCCCCCACACACATGCCCTGCTCACACCAGCTGCTCCAGTTTAACTTCTTTTCTACCTCTCTACTCTCTCTCCCACAAAGCTCAGCTGTGTCCCTGCTGTTTACATAATATCATACCTGTCAATATCTTCCTCTCATTCTGCTCTCTGGCAGGCCTCTTTCATTTTAAAGGTGGGTCAGTTCTTTGTTTGGGTTTGCTGTTGTTTTTTTGTTTTTTTTTTTTAAGTTTTTTTGAAAGAGAGAGAGGCAGAGACAGCATCTCACCAGTGTTCCTCTCCCACCAAACAGCTGATAGCAGAGCCAGGTAAAGGCACTCAGACCCTTCCCTGCTCTTTGGTTTCCCTAGATATAAGGCTTTCTAAACAGCACATTTCAGCAAGGTATGACACCCTTTTATAAACTCACTGCACCATTTCCTGAACAATCCTACAGAGCCAGCCACCACAAGGATCCCTTCCTTCCCTTAGCTCCCTGCAGGAGAACCCTTGGGCCCCTGCCCCCTTTTCCTATCACTGCCCAAAAAGCAAATCCATAATCCATCCTTTTCTCTTCCTGTCTTCCGCTGTTCCCAGCTCTTTGCTTAGATCATGCTGAAAGTGCTTCAAGAATTATTTTCAAATAGTTATAATTCAATACAATCTAATAATTACAGCATGTACTTCTGTCTGAAATTCTAGTTTCTGAAACCATTCTACAATTACATGACTTTATAAAGAGGGCAGATTTACACTAAATATAAGAAAGATTTTTTTTTTTATGATGAGGGCCATGAAACATTGGCACAGGTTGCCCAGAGAGGTGTTGGATGCCCCATTCCTGGAAACATTCAAGGTCAGAATGGACAGGACTCTGAGCAACCCAAT